GGACATCCATGAATACCCGTCTGTGCATAGCTATCCTCAATAGCATCAGTTGAAGACAGAACATGTAAATAAAGCTTTGCACAGCCTGAGTCAGAGTGAGATCAAAGAGCGAAGAGGGAAGCCTGGAAAGAACCCAAGTAACATTAGATCTTTAAATAAGCACTTCTTTATATACTTTTATATTATTAACGCCATCAAAATTCCGTGGCTGGTCAGATCGACGTGTTGCAGACTTTAGTGTTGTGGTTTTCAAACTAGCACGCAAGTGGTTGTTTTTCCACTTGGTCTGAAGGGTTCCCCGGGTGGGGGTTAGGGGACCCAGGCATTCTTGAGCCAAGAAATTCTCCTTTTATCTGCTTTATCTGTTGGGTTTCCTGATCTTTCTTAGACAAAAAAGGAGACTTTTTCTTTTTTTTTTTAATTGGGAGATGGCAAGGAGTGTGTAGTAGTGTCGACAGTAATAATGACCGATATTTTTGAGAGTTACTAGGTAAGAGTTTAGGCACCCCGTGCTGGGTGCCTTCTTCGTGTTACCTTATTCATTGCTTTAGTGATCTTGTAGGATGCATGTTACTGTAATCATTGTTTGCTGTCATTTTATGTGTCAAGGGCTGAGTGTTAGAAGCGTTAGGTACTTAGTCCGGGGTCTCCCTGGGATGTGAGTCCAGCAGTCTGGCTTCTGAGCCCACACTCACAGCTGCACTCATCCACTGCCGCTCACTTCAGGAGGCTTTTGGAGGCCCCCCAGCCTCCCCTAAAATGACTGTCACAAATCCATGGCCTTCACTAAATTCTCACTGAATCCACTTCACTCAGGTCAAAGACTTTAGTTCTTAGCGAAGCTCTGAAGAGCCAGTGACATCTTTTGGGAACCTGCCGATTACAGAGCTCCCAATGCCAAGCGTGTTTCATCACTGAAGAAATCTGCTTGTTTCTACATGTTCTTGCTCATGGGATTGTTTTTCTATCAGTATTAAGTTTTGTTAATATTCTGCAGAACTAGTGTTCCTTTGGGACATCTTTAAAGGTTAATAATGCCATGTATCAACCCGTTACTCAGAAAAAATATTTTTTTTCATTCAAGGGTCAAGAAATGAAGAGCAAATCAGTGACCGCAGGGATTTTGTGATGCTTAGTTGAGGCGTTTTCTTTCTTCTTTCAAGACTGGTGTTTGTATTAATATATAGCTTCCCTCCATTGTCTTGACTGCCATGCGGCTTTCTGCATTTATACTAACGAGTGAATCAAATGGAAAAGTCAAATGACGTCATGTTCTTGTTGAAAGTTGTCATGTCATTTGCTTACCTTCTTTGTGTCTGAGAATTACTTTCTGGTTCCTTTTTTACTATATAACAGTAAGCATTTTTTTTTTTTTTTTGGTCTTATTTTAGTGGAGAAAGAGGATCTGGAAAGTCTGAAGCCAGCAAACAGATAATGAGACACCTCACCTGCAGGTCTGGCTCCAGCAGGCCTATTTTCGATTCCAAATTTAAGCATGTAAGTCACTGGTTTGAGTTGGAGTCTATGGTGGGGCCAGAAGAATGTGAGTTGCAAATAAAAGGGGAGGCATCTTAATAGGCTTTAAGTTGAACTGTAGGGCTTCCCTGGTGGTTCAGACAATAAAGAATTCTCCTGCAACGTGGGAGACCTGGGTTTGATCCCCAGGTCGGGAAGATACCCTGGAGAAGGGGACGACTACTCACTCCGGTATTCTTGCCTGGAGAATCCCCTCGCACAGAGGAGCCTGGTGGGCTAGAGTGCGTGAGGTTGCAAAGAGTCGGACATGACTGAATGACTTTCACTTCACTTTAACTGCAAGTTGGTCAAAATTTGTGGAAATAAAGGGAAAAAGATTGAGGCCCTATGCAAATGAGTATTGTTTAAGTTAAGATTTATTTTCTTGTGTGTTTTTTAAAATATTGTAGACATGCTCTTTTCTTTTTGTTCAGAACAGTTGAACTGAAAATATGTAATATGATTAGAGTTGATTACTTTTACTGATAAAGAGACAGTTTGGGGTGTAAGTAGGATATATCTGTGGGGATTGACTAGATAAGCATCCTTTGTAGGGAATTACTGAGAGCTAATTGAGAGCCTGTTGGCAGCTCAGAGAGAGCAGTCCAATTTCACTCAGTAAAACTCAGACAGTTTATTCAAGGAGACACCTGCAATAGTTTGATTCTCTTGTCTTCACGCTGTTCTAGCAAGTTCTGTCAACATGTTTAACAGATCATAAGGAGAAACTCTTCCCAGTTTTTCTCTTTACAAAAAACGTACGATAAATCCCCCTACAATGTATCTGTGGCAGCATATGTGTTCCTTCATGTCTTTAATTCATGACCATTTATTACGCTTGATCTACGCACTCAGCACATGCATAATTCTATGGCACAGTCAAAGTAATCTAACCTTTTGGGCCAACCTGGGACAAGCAGTGTGGCTTTGAATCCTGTCACTGTGGGCATGACTGTGTTTCTCTGGGCAACTTCAGAACAGCTGAGGTCAGCTAAGAGAACAGTTGTTTCTAGTCCCTGTATTTGAGCTTCAGGCTGTGGAAACAGGGACTTTCCACGGCAGTAGTTTATTGGAACATGAAATTCATGTTTTGGGAAAAAACACAATTGCCTGGGACTTTTCTTCACTAATTCTGGTCCAAATGAGTTTCAACTTTGAGACATTCAATTCCACTGAAATTCTTAAATCAGCATTTATTGAGCAACTGTTTGTACAGAGCTGAGTGATGGGGTCACCCTAATTAAGCCATTATCTTTTAGTGAGGAGGGTACAAGTCTTTACTTTTAGAAAGGCCGATTGGTTAACTACTACCATAATAATAGGGCACAGCTTTTAATGGCAGAACTCTGAACATTTTATAGAAAAAAATTCCAATATAAATGGGAACAAATCATGTCAATAAAATGTGACTCAGTGAATACCGAGGAAATACATATTTCCCTTTGCCTATATTTTTATTTAAAGTTTTATTGTGACACAGTATTCTCATTATTTGTTTTAAAGTCGAGTAGCAGAACAGAACCAATTTTGCTTTTTTTTTTTTTGCAGTGTTTCTCTTAGCACATTTGTTTGCTGCCACCTACTGGCCAGGAGGATGATTAAAGATTAAAAAATGCCACTTGTTATTTCAGTTTAATCCTGAATCATGGGTCAGTGGTGCACAGTGTGGTGCCAATGTGTATACAGTGGTGCGCAATGAAGGCATGCCACGCA